ATCTTTTAACTTTGTTTCTAGAATCTTTTACTCCAGAACTTTCATCTCTTGGACACTGATCAGCCAAACAGCCTATTAAAGTGTGTGACCACTGAATGGGTCCCGCTAGTTTACACCCCATGTCTATTTGGTCAGTGTGTGTGTTAGAGGAGGGCGGACTAGGATAACTCAGACTAATGTATTGTCCTGGGTCTGCACCCTGACAGTTCCCCCTGCTGCTGCCTGGTCATTCATTACTACTAATTTGACATGTTTACGGACCCCCCTCCTAACATTACATACTTAAGGCAATCGACTGACCTTAAATGGAAACACCTACAGCCACGCGGCATGTCAATACCAGATGAGGGTGTTTGTGTCTGTGCGTTGTGTGTGTGTGCTCTCATGTGCTTATGTACCTGTGAAGCAGTGCGTCAATACTGAGTTAGTGGTTAATGTGGAGGAGCAGGTGAGTTATTTCTGCAGGGACAGTTTCCTGCATTATTTGAGTGAGCGTGTGTAATGCAGCTAAGAGATGAACAATTCAGAATAATGCAGGAAGTGTCTGTGTGTAAAGCAGGGAGGAGGGACGGTGGGTGTGAGGCCGAGAGGGAAAAGTGAGAGATTAGATCTTTAAGAGCCAATATCTGTTTTGTCTTCGATCACAGCGTTTTCTAATTTCCCACTCTTTGTTTATGTTTTTACATATTCAGCACTTAAATACAGTGTTGTTCCATTAAACGGCCAATCTTGCATTGTCTCTCACTGATACACAACATTAATCACCAATTAGCTTGTTCTGCCACTGGCCACCTCTCTCATTAGAATATGATAGAATGTAATGGTACTTAATGATGCTTAGGAAACATAATTAAATGAGTGAGCTGTAGAACATGAGGAAGAACCATGGTGCATCAATCAAAGACGACCCTGTCAATCCAGCACTCATCGAGAGAGAGACACAGAGAGACAGAGAGAGAGTGTGTGTGTGTGTGCTGAAACCACTGGCCTCTATCATGACCTCATTAGGGAGAAATGAAGGGTGGAGGTGTCCACATCACAAGATACCATTGGTGCTTCAGTGTGTGAATGACATTAATATGTGGCTGTCTCTGCCTCTGTCTGAATGTCAGTTGGTCTATCTAGCCGCGCTAGAACACATGAGGAAATAAAAAGGCCATCTCTCTGAAGTATCAGTTTTCTAGCTCTAATTAGCATGTGAATAAATGGAATAAATAATCTATATTATTTATGAACTTGCTTTTATCATTAATCAACATAACAAAAAGCTTGTCTAATGCGCTCGCTGCAGTCGCCACTGTACCATCAGTTGAGGGGTGGATGGAGGGGGAGACAGGGAAGAGGAAAGGTAGGGGGGCAAATAGCTTATCTTTTTTTTTTCATTTTAGTAGAACAATAAAGATAAGTGTTCTACATGCTTGTTTAACACACATAGTTCACTGGCCTCCTCCCCCTTCTCCCTCTCTCTCCCGGCAGTGGTGAAATCCATCTCTCTATCTCTGTCTCTCTAACATCCATTACATACCCCAGCCCCTCACCTCCCTACTCATTAGGCCAATGCACAGTAAATTAGCAGCAGCAATTACAGGGAATATAAAGCACAGGCTCTGCCGGGCTCCCTCTGACAGGTACCACACACTGATCACAGACAGACACTCACAGTCACCGAGATAATTACTGTGGGAAACGACCACACACCCTTGTATAAGCGAGAGTGTAAACCTGCATGTGAGTGCACACTCATCATAGGTGTGCCTGTGCTCAAATATACTCTGTCTTACTGACAGGTGTGTTCAGATGCAAAAAGGCTGGTGTATACCTGCAAGCAAACACAGTAAGGCCAGGGATGGAACCTGCTTCCCACTCCCTCTGTCTCTCTATGATGGTCGTTGTGACTATTTTCCAGCATATAGAGCATTATTAATATTCATTCAACCTCTCCTTGTCTTTTGCTCACAGTCTAGGTC